GACTTGCAACTGCAGCTTCCTGTCCCTGCCTCTGACTACCGGGGCTTATACATGCAACCTCAGGTATGCGTGTCTCACCCCACCGTTCATCTCAGGGGCATCAGCTCCCTCCTGTATTTCGGGACAAGCACAAATGCCTGTTCCAGGTAATCTCTCTTCTCAGATGCAGCATGCAGAGGCAGCAGAGAGGGTGGAAAACACGGCTTGAGGGAGAAGTTTTCAACCAGGAGTTCAGAGAAGAGGGTGTCCGACCAGGATAACATAGCCAGCCTCACACGATGGCTCTGCTCTGGCTACAAGGGTGGAGAATAGGCAAACCCTGGTCTTGTATAGCTGGCAAGCTTTGCCCTGAAGTCAAGACTGCCTGAGGGAGTGAAGTGTGTCCTGACGATGCTTAATGGCTTTGATCACCTGAGCTGTGTTTATTCAGTTCAGGCAAGATCCAGGTGCCTTGCTCTTCAGCACAAGGTCTCTGAGAATTTGGGGGTACAAAGTCCCAAAAGAGAGGTGCCAGGTGATTTGAGATGCCACCAGAGGTGCTTGACACTTGAAGCCTGAGGAGACTTGAGACCTCATCTCAAGATGAGACTCAGGGAGTGTTTAGGTGCTGTGTATGTGCCTCAGGACACTGTAAAATGGGCACTGAGGGAGGAGGGTGTTGTGGCTGTGAGGTGATGGGAGCCAGAAACGTACAGGCACATGCATCTCTTCCTGCTTGACGCGATCTGTGGTATTCCTCCTGCATGCTTTTCTTTTGAGGACCCTTCGCAGCAGACTCCTGGGTACCCCCGCTGCCTACCCCAGTTCCCTTCTACCCCATTACAGCACCTGCTTTCCTCCCGACAGACTCCGTGAAATACCTCGAATGCTCGGCTTTGACGCAGCGTGGCCTCAAGACAGTGTTTGATGAGGCCATCCGAGCAGTCCTCTGTCCGCAGCCCACCCGGACAAAGAAACGAGTATGCAGCCTCCTCTAAGCAAGTAAGTCTGAAAGGATCCCTGGGAATGACACCAATGGCCCTTTCCTGCTCCTGAAAGGTTCTGGGTTCCTGGGTTCCTATGACCTGCTGTGCCTGGTGGGATGGTTTACCCTCAGAGAGAGAGAGTGAGACAGCAGCCCTGCTTGGGGAAAGCACTGCTGGTATGATGGAGCGCATGGACCCCTGAACCACTTCCCCCTCCTTGCTGCCTGCCCATGGGCAGGTTTGCCCCCATCTCCTGGTGCAGGGCAGCCCAGGATTTTCCACCTCTGCCCTCACAGAGAAGAACTGTGTGTCACCTTCTGCCACAGAAGGAACTGCATCCAGGCTGCCCTGGGGATGACCTGTTGTGAGAGCTGTGAAGTGGCAGCCTTTGCCTATAGAAAAAAAAAAAAAACAACAAACTGTTCCTTATTCATGGCAGTTGCCCAATGGCCCTTCCTCTTATCAGGCCCTGCTCACCACAAGGGGGTTTTTGTGTTGCTGTTCATTGGCAGGCAGCAGCTTCTCCCCCAGGACTCCTTTACTCCTCATATTGTCCCCACCTGCCCTTCCCCTTCAACTCAAGGCAGCAGAGGGAGGAGAGAGGCTTCAGGACGAGAGGCAAAGCTGGCCAGAGCCTGAGGAGAGAGAAGAGTGAGAGCTTTCTAGCTGAGACCCTGCCCCTTTGTTCTCCCACCACCACCAGGGCAGAGGGAGGGAGAGCAGGAAAATAGCCAAGCTGGTTTCACGAGGTCTGTCGTGTTTTTGGCTACAGATCCCGGCCCCACCCTGATGCCAGGCTCTGCCCAGCATGCAGGAGAGCGATGGCTCCAACATCCCGGAGCTCAGTACCTTGTGGTGGTCACTGCGCTTTTTACTTCTGCTGGCTTGAAAGACTGTTGTGGGTCTGTAGCACTGGTTTGTCCATTTGCACAACTTCCCCACACTCGCCCCACCCCAGCTGCCCCTTCCCTTCCTCACTGACCCCCGAGGTTACAACGTAGTGAATAAGACCCAATAAACAGATTGTACGTTCTTGCCATGTCCGTGATGTGTTGCACCTCGGGGGGACAGCCCTGAAGCAGTGAGCAACGGGACGGCTGGGGTGGAGGCACCTGCCAGCTGTGCCCCTCCTTCGGCAGTGACAATCCAGGCAGCGCCACGCTGAGCTTGGAACTGGGGAGCCCCAGCCACTATAGGATGAAGAGATGAGGCCTGATTCATGCACCGAGTTGCTATGTTCTCAGCTGAGCCCCCCTCCATTCCTGAGTGCAGTGCAAATGTCGTGTGCCAGCCAAAGGCAACGGAGTGATTACACCTCGGCTTTTGTCCTTCCTCTTCTTAGCCTCCACGCGTTCAAAGGAAAAGTTGTCTCCCCTCTGAGACACACAGAGGATGAGATGCAGGCTTTGGGGTGCAAAAGAGAGATGAGATGCAGTACACCCGGGCCCAGACTCCTCTCTGTGGGGACTGCCCCTGCAGGTTGCTGGGGACACCCTTTCACCAAAACATTTCTGCATTAACACTTCTAAGCTCACGTCACAGGTAGTCATATCGATACCGGCACTCACTCACACTGCCAGGCACAGGCAGAGAGAGAACAGGAAGGGGGAGGGCAGGGGTGAAAAAAAAAGAGCGAGGAATGAGTCACCAGCCCAGACAAATTGCCTCCAAGTCACTAAAATTAAGCTGAGGAGAGTGGTCCCAGCGGTACTATGGATATGGCAGCTGTGAGCACCTGCCTTCCTGATGCATTGCAGGGACTTGAGAGTAAGAAGTGTTACAGGGTGGCTGGTACTGCCACTGCTTGCGGGAGGGAGGAGGGCTCAGGGTGCAATGATTGGCACTGCAAAATCCTGCAGTCCTAGGAGGGCACAGAGAAACTGTGGAGTTGAGCCAGCTTACCACTCCCCGATGCAGCACCACTTCTGAATTTCAAAGGCTGCTTCCTGCACTGAGGAGGTGCATGGGTAGTGTCAGCAACAACCCACCACAGTGAAGCCCCTGAGGTAAACTGCTGCCAGGGCAATTTCTGCAAATTCAATTCATGGTTGGATCTGAGTAAGGCAGTTAATTCAGTGATATGACGCAGTATCCACTGATAATGTCCAGAGCAACCCTGGAGGACATCCTGTGGCAGCGAGTTCCACAAATGTCTGCATTGCACATGGGCTGATGGATGAATTGCCCAAGCCCCATCCAAAGGTAATGTAAATTGTGTCAACATAAGTCCAGAAGAGCAGAAATGAAGTCTCTGGTGTGGGCATATATCTGTGGCAAGGCAAAGGACACAAAGCCTTTGAGACTGCGATCTAGCCTCCCTTAAACATCCTAAACTTTACTCAAACCAATGAATTCCCAGTGGGTTATTACTTCCTCTCTGGTTTTCAAGTCTTGGCTTTTACCTTCTCAGTCTGTCCTGTCCCCTATCACGTACAACAGTGCAGAGAGGAGAGGCTCACCACGTGCATGAAACAAAATTCATGTATCTGCCTACCTGTGGAGGTGCACAGGCTGAGCTCTCCTTCCAACACAATTCAAGCAGTTTGCACAACCCCGTTGGAGCTGAGGCAGAGAATGGGGCAGGACTCTGAGCACTGAGGAAGCAAGCTGGAGACCTGGAAGTTGTGATCCTATGACTGTGCTTATGCTAACAAGTCCTGCAAGGGGTAGCTGGCCTGGGTAGAGCTCTGCTGTTGCATGGCTCTGCTTCTTCTAAGACACGAGCTCAGGGCTCCCTGCCTGGTGCTGCAGATACCTGCCCTGCCATGACAAAGATAGCCACTGGGTGCTGCCCATGGCATTCCTTCCCCAGTGAGGCCTCATCTCTCCTGTGTGTCTCCAGACAGCATCGTGGCCAAGATCTAGGCTAAGGCGTCCTGACAGCTTTGAAGCCCTGTACTGCCTTCACCTGTTCACCTTTGAGCAGCACTGGCTGGACATAAAATTGCTCAAGCAGGTTTGGAAGGCCAGGTTTTAGACCTTGGCTATGTTCTGCTCACAGAGATACTCCCTACTTCTGTTAAGGCTGGAATTGGCCCTAGGAGCTTGACTGCTCATAACAGCCATGCCAAATGTCAGGAGTGGGTGACTGCACAGCACAAGGAGTCACTGATGTTGGCTGCAGGGCAGGGAAGGGGGTGAGGACTACGAGGAAGCACTTTGTGCAGGGAATGGGATGGGAAAATCCTAATTTCCTTCCTGGGAGAACTGCTTACACAAAGGAGCTTAATTTCTTGCCCTGCCCCATTTCTTCTGAATCTACTCCTTGCAGCAGAGATGAAATCTGGTAGAAGAGTTTGGGGCTGTTGAACTGGAGCTTTTTCCAAAGAAAGTGCAAAAGACATGAGCTTGTGCATGGAGCCAGGGGAGGGAGAGAGTTGAGACAGACAGCCCCCCTATTTGCCCATCCGCTCTCAGCTCCATCCATCTGGAGGTGCTCGTAGGGCAGAACAGAAGGGAGAAGGGATTGTGTGCTCAGCATCCACCCCGGTTTCTGAGCATCTTGCCAGCCAGAAGGCTTTGCCGTGTCCCTGCAGCTCTGAGCAGCACCGGTCCTGCCTGCAAGATCCTCGGAACAGGAAGCCCCTCTCCTGT